GTAGCAATAGCAGTAGCAGTAGCAGCAGCAGTAGCAGCAGCAGCATTAATACTAGCAGAAGAATACGAATGGTATTTCTCATGCTGTATGGTGATGTTTTCGTGCTTCAAGTTCTTGCTTCCCAGTCGGTCATTGCTGAACATGGATGTGCATTGCAGTGGGAGGTCTTTTATCACAATACGCTGAGAATGCCGCAGCTTACAGTAGAAGAGATATCTGATGATTGGGCTCATCATGTCAGATCTCTGTAAGGTTGCTTTGCCATGGAGGTCCGTGTGCATGTAGATGTAGAGTATTTCTTTTGTAGTTTGCTCAGTTCCGAGAACGAGCACGTTCGGCGCTGACGTCATCCGAGTCGCTGTGAGAGAGAAGAATACGAATGGCGGTCGAGCATGAGGTTTAAGACGTCCATGGTACTCAAACAACTTTCTTTTTTGAAGGTTTGGGGCAGACGATTGTTGGATTTGGCCGTGCTAAGGATGTTTGGCGGTTCCCGCGCTCAGCTTAGGGTTGCTGATGGTGTTGAGAAAGATATTTGTTTCTTGGTTGAACTGGCGGTGGTTACGTGACTGTATAAAGCGCTGTGCAAACAAGATGAAGCGTCTTAGCCCTAGCCTGGCTTGGAATGTCTGGCCAGCGAACTGCAACAACAGCAACTAGTCAGCAGGCATGAAAGGAGCAATAACGCAGTCAACTTCTGCAAGCACTTCAAGCCTGCGACATGTTAAAAGACTCTGCACGAAAAGTGAACTGCAACAACGGCAACTAGTCACCAGGCATTAAAGTAGCAATAACGCAGTCCACTTTAGCCAGCCCTCACAACGAAATAAGGGACGTCTTGAGTCCCGCGCCGGCCCAATACCACGAGAAGGAGGAGCAGCAGCAACACCAGCAGCAGCGGTTGCAAAATTAGTAGGCATCGAAAATCAGAAAAGTGATAAAACAACTCTTGTTCTCCGGTCATACTTGGGCTTGTTGAACAAGTGGACATTGAAGCGACCTCGCCTACCTCATTCTTTGAATGCACCATTCCCGTTGAAAGTGTAAGCGGAGCAGCGAGTGAAATCCGCAAAGGCTGCTGTTGCAGGTAGACAACCTTCTCTGCTCCCCTCTCCAGCCAATGGCAAAAAAAGTTTGCCAGCACCCCTGGTGGAGCCTTGAGCTCATGCATATGACGCACAGAACTGGGAGTTTCTAGAAATGCTTTGGAACTAGGCTTGCTCCATTTCAAAAGCTCCCTGGTTGTTGCGACGCACTGACTTATTTGGGTGGAATTGGGCAGAGCTGAAAAAAGCAGAGCTCTGATGGCAGAATCCTGTCCGGGAAGCAGTCAAAAACGCACATGCAATCCAAATGTAATCCTGAAATCCCGCATCAGGAGCGCGGAGAAACCTAAAAGTGCCCGAAGTGGGAATCCGCATTGCCGTGACGTCTCTCACGTGCCCCAAGTATCACAACGTCCTGGAACATGCAATTTCCACCGGGGATACGTCGCACAAATTCTAATCTAGCAAACTGTTGCAAGCCCAATGCCTGAGTGGCAATCATCCTATGCCCCTTTGCGCTGCCAAACCTAGCACAGGCACATCACCAACCTCTCCCATAATCAACCAATCAGGAACGTGCCGACGCACCAGAGGTGACTGTACTGTCAGAGTCCATGCCGGGCACAGTGGGGTGGGAAATTGGAGGCAGGGAAAGAGAGCTGAGATTAAATACGCCCTTTGTAACCCAATGGTGATTGAAATATAAAAAAAAAAACGGGTTCCCATTTGGGAGGCCCCAAAGCTGCGGTGTTCAACAACGCACCTTGTTCAGATGCCTATATGATCCCCAAACCTTCCCCATGAAGCAAGCTGAGCTTCGCCAGGCCACGGAAGAAGCCACATCGTTGGATGTAGATCCGTGCACATATCTCAAGAAAGTACCTTTCAAAGAACATAAAGAACTTAGACCCAAATCTTTTAGAACTTCAGGTTCTAGATTGCGAGTTTATGCTCAGTGTGCAAGGTTGTAGTTGGTCTTACATCAGCGGTGTAGAGGGGCTAAAGAATGAAGTTCAAAAAGCTTTTGGGGCATTGCTACGAGAGCTTCATCAGGATATCACCCTTACAATCACACTGTAACATTTCGAAACAGTTGTGACCCCTACATTACAAAGTACCGGCATCCACAACCGTGCAACACGTTGAAAAAAGTGATCCCGAAAAACATCTGTTTCAACTGGTCAGGGCTTGAAGTTGAATGTTTACAGCTACACGTCTTAAATTTGGGGTAGAGGTTCAGGGCTCTGCTTACAAATCTCACATCACCAAGCCCAAAGTGGTTCTCGCATAAGAAAATCTGAAAACGACGATTGCCATTGCATGACTCACATTTCCGTCCTAAGACCAGGATCCACAACGAGAATGGCTTTTTCAGGAATCCTCATTCTCAGAGTTCACTCGCTTCGCCGTCAGAATTTCATTCCCAAGAAATCCCCACTCCCGCAACAGCAGATATGCCCTACATGGCACCGTTCTGTATTCAAGGAAAATTGAATACAAGGGGGGCAGTGGAGCCCATCTGAAGGAAGAGCTTCCATTAAATTCAGGACCAGCTGCAGAACTGCAAAAATGTTGTCACAGGCCGCGAAGAAATCCGTCAGGTCTATGCCCTCGGGACGCCAATTCGCTCTCCAAGGGGGCATTTGCCGTTAAAGTTGTGGGAATTCAGGTCTCGAGTCTCGAAAAAAGTCTTACTTTCACCCGGATGCCTCGGGACCAACCTGCACCCCAAACGCCCATCAACTGGGTTGCTGTTAAGGAACTTAAATTAAGTTACCATAATGGGTATATATAGTAAAGATTAGGGTTTCCCCAATATAGTAACNNAGTGCCTTAACAGCAACCCAGTCAACTCTACACTCTGCACCCCGAACTCCGATTAGCAGACCTTACTACAAGCAAACCTAAACTCTTCAGGATCCAAAGCCCCAATTGGTTTGAAACGCCCAGGAGATCTTCCGTGAAAACAACATTATAAGCATCCAAGTGAGCTACTCGAATACGGAACCATCGGGTTCAAAATATGAGCAATCTCTTGCTGTCTTTCACGAGGCCGCGGACATCATTACTCACACAATGACAAAAACCGCGCTGACCATCGTTACTGGGTTAGTAGCTTCCAGAATTAAATGTGGATCCCGAATCGGCATCAAGCGGAAAACCCGCAACGTTTGTAGAACCTATCATTTACACATTGCCTCCGTCTCCAGACAATCAAGTAGTCCCTCCTGGAACTGAGTATCCCAAGCCTCCAGTTCTGCAACTCTTTCGAGAAAAAAATGTCATCCGGAAGGAGTGGATTCTAGCTCGTTCGGCCCAAATCCTAAAAACTGTCACCATCAAATGCTTTCCTGAAGCCACCAAGCTTCCGGCAAGCTTTCAAGACCTAAGCCCGAGCCACTGACGCGTCCTCAATCAAGACTCAAACTTGTTAACCACTTGTAGACAGGCGTGCGTGTAGGGCCTCTGGGTTTCATGGTTGGGGATGGTTGGGGTGCGGTACCTACGGTCAAAAGCTTTAGCCAGCTTCACACCCTTTCCTGCAAATTAGAAGGACGTGAAACCATGATGTACTGGTCCCATTCGGCCCAATTTAACATGTAAGCAGGCTCGTTCGTAAAAGCCGTACGATTTGGGGGGTCATGAGCTGCGAACTCCGGAATGAAAAGGATCTAAGGCTGTCAGGTTCTTGCTTTTTCTTGGTCTTAGGTTTGAGCCAACACTGGATGCAAACTAAATCGTCAAGCTCTTGCCTGCACAAGTGTTGCCATGCTGACGTAAATACTTGCTAGAAATCTGCGATTTTACTGCTACCTGCGCAAGTATTTTCCAACGGCCTCAGCTGAATGGCTGCCTTATTAACCATTCACACAAGCTAGTGCACATGACAATGTTCCTCAAATACCACATCTCTGCACAAACAGTCTGAGTCTGAGTTTTGACTGAGCTTTGCCAAGCTCATTTTCTAGAAGGGGGGGAAAGAGGAGCCCGTCACGCATTGCCCCTCAAAAGCACCCGCTAAAGCCTCCAAAATAGCTAAATCATTCACAAGAATCTCGTTACTCCTGCGCACCCTCCTTCCACCACTGCTTTAATGACAAAGACTACGATTACTCCTCCTGCCACGGCTGTTTCCACAAGACTACTAGTCACCGCTGCTCCAGCTACCAAACACTCTTGTAATATGACGAATTAAAACTGAAGCAAAATGGGCCTTCAGCGCAAGAATGCCCAGGTAATACACAAGAGCCCCCAAAGAACAAAAGCCCGACAACCGCAAGAGCAATTGCAGGCAGGAAGCTTACAAATGCCCGGGGCATGGGGATCAACTTTTACATGATTGCACACACTCCCCCTTCCTTCCTTTTGATTCCCGCGCCACCCCGGATCCACTGGTCTTGAGAAAGTGTAGGGTGTGGAAACGTAGAATGATGGGTTCCGGGGCCCTCAAAGTTCTACCGCGCACAACGACGACCACGACCAAAACGACAACCACGACAACGTCGACGAAACCCCCGCAAACACCAGCACCACAACCAGCC